GCAATGCAACCGAGGGCGGCATGAAAGCTCGGTTAAGGGCGGCGTGGGGGCGTGGGTGGTGACCGGGTGGCTGCAACACGAGGGGCGGGAGGTGGGTGGAAGCTCTCTCTCTCGCTCACTCTCTTTCTTACTCTTTATCTTTCTTTCTTTCTATCTTTCTTTATCTCTATCTTTCTCTTTCTCTCATTCTCTCTCTTATTTTCTCTCTTTCTCATTCTCTCTCTCGATCTCATTCTCTATCTCATTTTCTTTCTTATTCAGTCTCTCTCTCTTTCATTCTCCCTCTTTCTCAGTCTCTCACTCCCCATTCTTTCTCTCTCATTTTCTCTCTCTCACTCTCTCATTCTCTCTCGCATTCTCTCCTACCCATATATATGTGCGTGTGTGTGTGTGTGTGTGTGTGTGTGTGTGGTGTGTGTGTGTGTGTGAGTGTGTGTGTGTGTGTGTGTGTGTGTGTGTGCATATGTATATATACTGTATATAAATATAAATAAATAAATACACACATACACACATACATATATATGCGCGCGCGCGTGTGCGTGTATGTGCGTGTGTGTGTGTGTGTGTGTGTATGTGCGTGTGCGTGTGTGTGTGTGTGTATATATATAATATATATATATATATATATATATATATATATATATATATATATATATATGTATGTATGTATGTATATATATATTGATATATTTATATATACATGGAAATATATATACACATATCTGTATGTATGTATTATGTATACACACATATACACATATACATAGGTAGATAGATAAAGAAGTAGTTATAGGGAGAAAAACTGGAGGTGAAGATATACAAGCAGACCTGTCTATCTTTTTATCTGTCGCTTTCTGTATACATAGGTAGATAGATAAGAAATAGTTATATAGAAAAAATGGAAGTGCACAAGCAGACCTGTCTATCTTTTTATCTATCTCTTTGTTTAGATTTTCTATTTAGATATTCATTCACATATAGACGAATACGTACTTACTCATTTATACATACATACATAGACAAATAAACATCAAACGATAAATGAATTGTAAGACATGTTGACAGTGAGTGTGAAATAGATAGAAAATCAACAGATAGATAGACGAAGAGATAGACTAGTAAACAGACAAAGGTGCGATCAATAGATACCACGGAGCTGCGTATATATTCGCGTATTGGGGCATGCTGTGTTGCCATACGCATAACAAGCGATTCACGTAAAGCTAATTTATTACATTCAATCAGATTTTGTTTCACTAATAACTACTTAATTACCCTCAAAATTATCAAATTAATCCTATCTGATAATATGGGACTGAAGGACTATGGAGCCAGTTGCCAAGTCGGGTTTCAGAAGGGAAATTTCCTTCATGTCTTGCGCTCTAACTACCGACTCGCGTTGGTGCCCGATATAAGGCGTCTTGCAGAGGGCACTGTTCACTCGCCTCCGCCATCTGCTGCGAGAAGGTAAAACATTCCTTTGATAAGGGAGTATTCTGCAGAGTACATATTGGAAGGTAGCATATAAAGTATCTTCGTATATTTGAGACTAAAAATGGACATAGTTTCAGCTTGTGAAAGATTTTTTTTTTTTTAAGTTTGTTATCCTGTAAAAACTCTAAAAAAAAAAAAAATCTTTTTTAAAGTTTGTTATCCTTCTGTAAAAAAATCTAACTTTTTTTCAGCATATGACGTGATATTAGTAGCATTAACGTGATTCTGTATCTTTTATTGCAGAAAGTGCTTTAATAGCTCTCTATTGATCACCATGTCGCAAACAGGTAAGTCACAAAAAGAATTTCCATCAACTATTTTCATTTTAATATTTCATCTTAAAGCATAAATATTAAACCTGAACTCCTGATTCCCCTGATAAGCAAATGCTAGGAAAATTATATCTTGTTACTGTCTCTGCAGGACGTCCAGCAAACAAGAGGCGATCAGACAGAAGGGATTTGTTTGGGAACGAGAGAGAGACAGACAGACAACCAGATAGACAGACAGAGACACAGACAGACAGAGACACATACAGACAGGCAGACATACAGGTAGACAGAGAGCCTGATAGACAGAGACCGAGAGAACGTTAAACCGGATACAAAACGTATAAGTATCCATCCCTCTATCGATAGAACAAAACAATGCATGCAGAATAATCCCAAGACTAATCCCCTTTGACTGAATCACACTGAGAATCCTAACGAACGCCTCCTCCACAGACTCGACCACCAACAAGGCAACCATGTACAGCTCAGGCATCAAGGGCGGCGACGGCGCAGATACCGGCAACGGAGGCGGAAGGGGAGAGATGCCTTCCGCCATCACCAAGAAGTAGATAGATTCTGTCTATCTTGACCTCGGGATGGGACTCGAACTGGAGTGGATTTTCACCATCTCTGTTGCTCGTTGGGCTTGTCTCCCTTTGCCTGTAGTCCACTTGAGGCAAAGAACGGAATGGTTCATACATCGCACGTCTTCACTTAATTGAACACCGCCACAGTATTAATCAGAAAGTCAATTTTCTTATCAAAGTTATGTCTTTTAAGGCACATTCATCTTCGGAAGCTTTCCCATGCCCATTATATCTAGGGCGTGCAACCTTTCTCAACAAAAGGACCCTTACTCAATGATTAATCAAAAGAAATGCAGATTACCAACCTTCATTGCTGATGAAATGGAAAGCTATTCTGATATGCGGTGATTCCCTCTTTTTCAGCGACCGAACCGAGGTTTGGGGCACTTGGGATCATTTCAGCTTAATCTGTTACTTATCCTTGATTCTTATGCTATTTTCAGTGGTCAATGATTCGTCGAAGATCTGGAAGCATTGAAAAATCTGAGAGAGCCACGTGTTGCTCAGGGCCACTATATATTTCTGATATATTTCTCATGCTGATGCTCTATATTTCTTGAATATGAACACATAAACATAAAACGTACATACCTTGAACACGTAGATACTTTCACACACTAATCTAACTCCTAAGGAACTTTCTGACATACTCGCAGTGACTAAACGTAAATGCAAGTCTAAGAGTTGAGTTTACCGTTTATGGATATGCTCTCTAATATGTATTTTGGCATTCATTTGTAGAAACGATGTCGACTTTTTCTCTTGGTTCATATTTTGTATCAAAATGTATCATATGATTTTCAACTTTTTTTTAAATAGTTAAAGATCCTTTCTTTTATTCACCTACACTGTACTTAGGTAAAGAATTTAAATCTATTTGTAAATAAGTTGATTTGTTTGTTTTTTTTATGAATATGAGTGTAATTCAGCACGGCTTATAATGAGCAAAACCTCATTGTATGACAAATAAAGATGAAACATGGAATTCTTTTGATGTCAATGTCCCCTGTAAAGCTACAATTTTGGAAAGAATCTAAAATCCTCTGTCAGGTTTTTTCTTCTAATTCTTGGATGTGAAGCATAATGAGTTGCTTCCCGAAATGTTCATGAGAGAATGAGCGAGAGAGAGAGAGAGATGGAGCGAGACTGACCGACTGAGAGAAAAAAAAAAACAGGAAAGACAGATTGAGAAAGTCAAATAATATATATATATAATATATATATATATATATATATAATATATATAATATATATATATTAAGAAAGAAAGAAAGAAAAAAGAAACAAAGACCGAGGCACAAACAGACCCAATGATAGACAAAGGTAACCCGATAGATAATAATGTACTGAAAAAATGAAACATAACATTACGCATATTTATGAACACACGATCATCAATATTTCCATATGCCTCAAAATCTTAATGTGTATATAAATAACATACATACATACATATATATAATATATATATATATATATATATATATATATATATATATATATATATACATATACATATATATGCGTATATACATATATAGTATATATATATATATATATATATATATATATATATATATATATATATATAATATATATATAATATATATATATATATATATATATATATATATATATTATATATATAATGTATACATCTATGTATATCATAACATTTGTATAAACTACAGATTATGCGAATGAACAAATACTCAGTCATTGTCTATCTTCTCATTATTCTTATTAAGAATACTTATTCTTATCACTGATATTATCATCCATTGCTTCTTGTCTTGTTACTAACAGCTTTATTCGCGCCATAAATATCTTCATTATCCTCATCAATATATCATTAAGTGTCCCTTCGTAAGCCGCAATGCATACGAGGGCGGCATGAAAGCGGTTAGAGGGCGGCGTGGGCGTGGGTGGTGACCGGGTGGGCTGCAACACGAGGGGCGGGAGGTGGATGGAAGCTCTCTCTCAGTCTCTCTCTCTCTCTCATTCTCTCTCATTCTCTTTAACCCCCGTTCTTTCTCTTTCATTTTCTCTTATTCTCTCTCTCATTCTCTCTCTATATCATTCTTTCATTCATTCTCTCTCTCAGTCTGTCTCACCAAATTTCTCCATTTTTCTTTCTAATTCTCTGTCTCTCATTCTTTCTCTCTCTCGTTTTCCTTTTCTCATTTTCTCTCTCTCTCATTATCTCTCATTATCTCTCTTTCATTCCCTCTCTCTCTCTCTCTTTCTCTTTCTCTTTCTCTCTCTCTCTCCCTTTCACCCATTCTCTCTCTCTCATTATTTCTCTTTCATTTTCTCTGTATCTCTCTCTCTCTCTCTCTCTCTCTCTCTCTCTCTCTCTCTCTCTCTCTCTCTCTCTCTCTCTCTCTCTCTCTCTCTCTCTCTCTCTCTCTCTCTCTCTCTCTCTCTCTTCTCTCTCTCTCTCTCTCTCTCTCTCTCTCTCTCTCTCTCTATTTGAATAACATCAGCACAGTTAATGTAATGTATCTGATTTCTAAATTATGCAGCTTTGCCCCATTGTACAGGGAGTAAAAAGAAAGGACACACATATCAATATTTCGTCCTGTTTACATGCGTTTATTTGCTATGCATCCGTTTTGTTTGAGTTAAGTTCACTATGATTATGTTCACTGTGAGGTAAGTTCATTGTGAGTTGATTACATTTTCCCAAACAAAGATAATTACGAGGCCTCCACACACAAGAAAGGGAGAAGAAAATGATAAACTAATTCTCAAATCAATATTCTTAAAATCAATTGAGCAACCCCCCTCCCCCACCAAAAAAATAATAACAAACTAAATAGATAAATAAAAAGGAACCAAGCAAGCTACGTGTAAATCCCAAAGACACAGCGACCATACGCCGTTCATTTGTTATTCCGTACCCTGTTATTTTCCAGCTAGAGCCACGCCTTCCGACCTCACTTTTTCTGATCAATACACATAGCATTGGGACAGTTAGCAGTTGTCACTTGCTGCAATCTCGAAGTAGGTGTTATGGCGTGTATTTGTGTTTGTTTTGTCAATATTTATGTGATATAGCATAAGGAAGGGTTTTGTCTTTTTCTTTTCTTTTATTATTATACTTCATGTCGCCATTAAGTTTCTTTTCATTCCCTCCGCGCAGCAAACACTTCAAAACCAACGATTGTGCTTGTTAATATACTTCCATAAAAAAAAAACATGGTTTGGCAATGGTATCAAGCTATTCTTCAAAATAAGTTAAGTCGATTGTTCATTTACAAAGTTAATTTTATGATAGGGCGATAATCAGACTTATTTCTCTCTGTCTGAACGAACTGGAATATATGTTGATTAAGAATTTTTAATCGATTGATGAAGACCACGGGCTCATAACCGGGGATATCCATACCCCTTGGGAAGTATAAGAACCAGAGCCTGGAGGGACAGGTTTCGATCTCTGGGTAATTTTATATAATGTTATGATTTATACTTTATGTTTTGCCGTTGCGTTTTATCACAATGACACTGTAATTGCAATGAAATTGGCTGTATGTTGCTGATTTATAATCTGAAACAAGTGAATCAATGTTATATCTTCTTTTTCGTAAGTAGATATTATTAATCTATGAATACCAATGATTTCCTTTTATATTCTATTCCTAGCTACTCATATCTAAAGTCAATGCCAGCTGTTGATGTCTCTGAAAGTCGTCTTCCCAAAGATAGACCATACTGGCTAATCCTTGGGGTCTAAGGTCATTAGAAAGCGAATAACCCCTAATCACATCATACTTTTATTGACCTAAACAGGTTTAGCAAAAAATACATCCGTCTTTCTTTTCTAACTTTCATGAATGAACAAACTATTTTTGCAATAACAACGTGCTATATGTATCAGTGCAAATAAACATTACTTGATTCATCGTTTTTTTATTTGCATCAAGGCTCCCTTTCGTTAATTTTCTAGCTTCCTTTGGTCGTGATGAAGCTGGAGACCCAAAAAGTGAAGTTTCTATGTGTAGTTCTTCCTTAGGGGTGTTTCATAGTTTCTTTTTTCTGGTCTTTGATTCTTCAGTTGTTCTCTTTTATTGGTGTTCCTTTTATTCATCCGTTTTTGACCTTATTCCTTGCATTTTATTATTCTTTATAGTTCAGGTTATTTTTCTCCTTCCGTGTATCTTTTAACACGTTTCTCTTAGTTTTCATTTCATTTTCACGATTTTGCTGTTCTCCCCCTTTCCTTTTCCTCTGAGTGTTCTTGCCCTTCAAGTAATTCTCTCTTTCTTTCAAGTTCATTATTTTCTTAATTCTGTTACGGTCTTCATACTTATAATGCATTGATATACATCATTATCATATCCATTACCCTTTTCTTCACTTGCAATAGCTATCTGAAATTTGTTATTAATCTATTGAAATACAGTTTTATCTTCATCTATTGTGCATCATTTGTATTTTTTAATATATGTTTGCATTGTTGTGTGTATGTATGTGTTTTCACCAACATACGTGTAGAACATGATATGTTGATTTGAAAAAAAATGAAAGGTGATCTTAACTGTATATTTTGTTATCGTTCCTCGACTCATCATTA